GTGTTCCCCGCCACTGTGGAAGCGGCAGCCCGGCACTCTACTGAAATCTGGGATTCGTTTTCTCCTGATTTGGTAGACTCCCCCGTTTGGATTTAATGAATTGAAATAGAGTAAATATCGGAATTTGTTGCCAAAGTCCTTAGTTCTTATCTTATCATATGTGTTTGATGCTCATAAAAAAGATATAAAAAGAGAAAATGAAAATGAAAAGATGGAGTAATTGAAATGAAGCTTATTTTGTCTGCTTTATTTGGTCCAGGAGAAATTGAGAAATCATATATTCTTTTCCTTTTTGTGTCATTAAGAAATTAAGGGTCTTGTATTATTAATTATGCTAGATTCAAAGAGGGAATGCTTGATTATTTTTATTTTAGATTATCTCTAGCTACCATAAAACTCAATTACTTGTCATATCAATTCATTCCACATTTGATGGCTATGATTAGTTTCAAACAATGGATCCTATATCCTATCCCTATAAATTGAATTGGATGGTCAGGATTGGTAATTAGAGATGATCCCCTACATTAAAATAATGCTTGAATCTGGTTCAGAATTAGTCATTTGAGTCATCAAAAAGATCAACTTATTGATGTTGCCCGAAAATTAATGAACTCACTGTAACTTTAATTTGGATAAAGTTGTCCAATCAACCCTACCTAAGCTATGTGATCTTTACTCATAGGATTTGTGAGATATCAATGAGTTGATGATGGGTACTTACAAATTCTATGGCTTCTTCACCTTGAATTGTATGGTACCAAGTGAATTGATATCTTAGTTTTTACGTGCTTTGTTTACGAACATTGGACTAAATTCTTTGTTAAATTTGCCATGCTTTGTATTGTCTCATCTTATAGGCATTTTATTGAGGCTGAGATTGTAGTCATCTTGTTACCTTTGAAGCCACTATATTTGTACTATCAATGGCTAACATCTACATGTTCACCTTATATCATGGATAGATCAATGAAATTTAATTTTCTGTTGAACTATGAAAATAATGAGAGTCCTAAGAATTTATAGGTGTTTGAGGATTTTCTTTTTGAACTGAAGGAGGATTGACCAAATATTTTCCTAGTTCTGTTGGATTACATTAGGGATCGGCTTTAAGCCCATATCTTTTTGCATAAGTTATGGATTGTCTTACTGGAAATTTACAGGAGGATGTACCTTGGTGTATGTTTTTTGCTGATGATATCCTTCTCGTGGATAAGACGAGAGAAAAAGCCCAGGAAAAACTTGAATTATGGAGGTCTACTTTGGAGTCTAAAGGCCTTCATTTGAGTAGAACTAAAACTGAATACATTGAATGTAATTTTAGTAGTAGTTCCTCTAGTGACGGAAGTGTAACTTTGGGTGATCAAATTATTAAAATATGTGAACGATTTAGATATCTCGGGTCTGTTGTTCAAAGTGATGGTGATATAGATTGGGATATTAATAGTCGAATTCAAGTTGGTTGGTTGAAGTGGAGGAATGTTTCGTGTCTTTTGTGTAATAGAAAAGTACCGCTTAGACTAAAAGAAAAATTTTATACGATGGTGGTGAGATCTGCAATGCTCTATGGCACTGAATGTTGGTCCTTAGAAGAGAAGCATAATACTAAGTTAAGTGTTGCCGAGATGAGAATGATTAGAGAATGATTAGGTGTGAGTGGCTTTACACTTAGAGACAAAATGCGAAATGAATATATCTGTGATAGAGTTGGTGTAGCTCCTATGACTGACAAAATTAGAGAAAGTCATCTTAGATGGTTTGGTCACATTAAGCATCGACCATCTGCTGATCCGATTAGGAGAGTAGATGTTTTAGATTCTACTTATGTTAAGAAAGGAAGAGCTAGACCTAGGAAAGACTTGGGCTTACTGTATAAAAAATGTCTTAATTTATTAGAACTAAATGAAAAATATGGCACAATGGAGAAAAAGGATTCATGTAGCCGACCCCACGTAGTGGGATTAAGGCTTTGTTGTTGTTGTTACTTACTTTGCAACTTTCTAAGTCTGCATTATAAAATCCTGGAAGCTCAAATGGGTGTTCAGTCTCTGCGAACTTCATTTTGCTTATATATAATTTTTTTTTAATTTTCATTAGACAAGATTCCTTAATCTTCTTGAAATCTACCATACAAGCCTATAATGAACATGATATCATGTTTACTAGTTGTCAAATATAATTAAGAATCTATTTTACTTTTAAATATTTTCGATTCTAGGAATTTCTCTTTTTCATATTTATCCAATTGTGCAGAAGGACTCACTGGGTTGCCTATTTGTCTGTGACATCAAGAATCTTTTGTTACAGCAATTGTAATATCATCTTTCTATATTTTTGTGAAAATCTTATGACTGTCAATTCTTTTGATATAAACTGTGATGTATCTCATTCATTTGCCAAAACATAAATTTATTATAAGAGAGTCCAGTCTTATATACCACGCCATAGGGGCTTGTTTTAACTTATAAAGCATTCCTTTTAATTTTAATACACAATTCATATGAATATAAACTATGATTCGAGGCATTTTTTCTATACACACATCTTTTTCAATGACTGTGATAAATCTGTAGATAATAACTCTGCTGGTTCATTAATGGAAATGTGTTTTCTAGATCTAAATGATATTATAATCTAATTTCTTAATTGAAATGCAACATATAGATGCTCATTTAAAATTGTTTAATTTTGATATTCTACCAAGTCAGTTCTTTCTAATTTTATTAACATATGTGGATTTTAAATATTTAAGTTGGTTAGCAAATAAATTATGTGAAGTTTTTACTAAACTAACTTGACAATTTATTTTCATTAAACATTATGACACGGAAGCATTTCCCGTTTTTGGATGAAGCAGGACATGAGATTTCCCGTAACTATATGTGGCGCCCAGGTCGTGCGTGCGCGACAGAGCTAGATTGAGCGAGTTCTCTTCCAATTACTTTCTAATATTTAGCACATCTCCTTTTATTCTTTTTCCCTTTTTGGTCATTTCTTATATATGTGTGTATTAATGTTTAGATTTTTTGGTTTTGGTGTATTTTCTAATGGGACAGCCGACAACGTCTTATATTTTACTTTGAGGGTTGTATTTGAGATACAGGTGGTGTCTTGGCTGTATCTCACGCCCGAGGTGGTGGCTTTCATCCGCTACCCTTCTCTGCATTCTTCACTTCACTGTAGCTGCACCCTTCCTGCTGCAGTCACTCTGAAGTAGACCTCTTAGCTGTTTTCCTTGCATTCGCCTCCCAACAGCGAACTGCTTGCCATCTTGGTTGTCTTCTCGCTCAGCCATCCCAGCACCTCCTCCAGCCTTTCCAACTGTCCTCTCTTGACGTCGTGGCACCGTAAATCCCTACATTGCTGTCCAGTTCTATTCCAGCCACCTAAACCACATCCTTGCAGCCTAGCTGATTTTCCTGTCTTCCAGAACAACCCATAGCCGTGTTCTCATCGGACAATCCACCTACTCTTACTACTGCCTCTCCAAACCCCCTAATGGCCAGAACTACCACTTGAGATGCACATTGACCATGTCACGTGTCGTATGATTTTTATTTTCTATTTTAATGCGTTATGTGTCGTGTTTCTTGTGTTGGTTGTAATCTCCCATTTGCTTTTTAGTTATATTATTTTGCTTTTTCGTTGTTGTTTGGGTTAACTTCGACATCATTTGGCATTAGAGCCAGCCTACCATTAATCATATTCTAAGGTTTCCATCTTCCACCAATGCCCGACCCTATCTACACAACCCTTCACTTTGTTGTTTTTTCACCCAAAAATTTTTAGAGAGAATAATTCTCTTTTACTGATCAAGGAAGAGCTGAAGAAATAAACAGTGACCCAAGCAGTGTTGAAAATTTCTGAGAGGATTCTTAATTTCTAGTTGACAAAGAAGAGACAACAGTGATTCTAGCTGACACCATGAGAGTGATTCCAGTTGAATTAGCAGTAGTTTTATAAGAGAGTAAGTTCAAGGTATAGGGCGTTCATGCAGGGTATGGGATTATGGTGTCTCGAACTACCTTTTTGCAGGCGTTGATAGGAGCATCAATATGACTGACATTGGATGTCCAAAAGGGTTATGAGTTTAAGGATGCAACACTAGACACAAGTCAACCTCAAATAAGAGGATTTCATAATTTTTAAAATACATAAACTATTTTTTGAGTTGGCCCTACTGAGGGAGATCTAACATTTCAGTGATGAGAAGCATTAGAGCTACTTATGAAAGACTATGTGGAGTCATTTGGATATTAAAATCAGTTCAATAATGTACACATTGATAGATGATCAGACATGACAGATGAATCGCAGTGTTGGAAATCACCTTAAAATTTTTGTGAGAAAGAACATCCTACAATGAGATTCAGGTCCCACAAGAGAAGAGGAGATCTTTTCCAAGTGGTTGCTATTGGGAGTTGCCTAGCCTACCATTGGTTGTGCCAAAAGATAATATATATTAATTTTATCAGGATGTACTTTGGAATGTAAACACCAATATAATTGAATTACTTGAAGATTATAACATCTTTGCCACCTTCAACGTGGCCTACTGAACGCTATACTACAAGAAGATAGAAGCTCTGACTGGCGATGAATAAGGTCGAAGCTCCCACAACTCTGTGAGGCTGACCCAAGAACATCTCTCACTTCTGGATGAAGAGGAACACAAAATTTCTCACAACTAGAAGCGACACTTGGGTCGTGTGTGCATGATAGATTCGGATTGTGTTCTTTTCAATTTTTAGCACATTTCCTTTTATCCTTCTTTTCTACCTCTTTCCTATACATGCGATAGAGTTTAGATTCTCAGTTTTGATATGTTTTCTGTCGTGACAGCCGTCGGCCTCTCGGATTTCCCTTTGATGGCTACATTTGAGGGATGAGTGGTGCTCCGATTCTATCTCGCACTCAAGATGATGATTATCTTCTGCTACCCTTTCACCACATCTTCCCTTCGCCATCGCCGCTGCCTTCCTACTGCAGCCATCCAAAAACAACCCTCTTGGTTGTTCTCTCTGCAATTTTCCCGCCATCTAAGCAGCCAGCTGCCTGCCATCCTAGTTGTCTCCCTGCTCAGCCATCCAAACAACTCCCTCCAGCTTTTACATCCGTCTTGCCTCGCTACCGCAGCCCTGTAAATCCCTCACCATGCTGCCCATTGCCGTTCCAGCCACTTCAACTGCGTCCCTGCTATTCCTGCCTCACGAACTGCCCCTAGCTGCTGTTCTTCGCTGTCCAATCCACCTATCTCCTTGCTATTGCCTCTCGAAGCCTCCTAGCATCGACCACCACCACCCGAGATCTACCTTTGCCTTGTGGCATGAATCGTTTGTGATTATTATTTCTTATTTCTGCATGTCGTGTGTCATATTTTCTGTTTTAGTATATTGGTTGTAATCTGCTATTTGTTTTTTTGTAATAATGTTTTACTTTTCCATTGTTGTTTGGGTTAAGTCCGATGTCACATTGTCATAAAATGAATTGAACGTCATATCTTTTATTACATAGCTAGCAGATGCTAATCTGATTATGTTGTAATCCATTTGCTGATAGAACCATTTCAATAATGGTGGAGTATTTACCGATTGTATTAGCTCCAATGATTTTTTCTGTTTTGTATTATCACTTTAGGATACATAATCACCATTCTTTGAACTGAACTTACCTACACCAATAGTCGTATGAAGCATACCCACACAAGATATCTCCGGGTTTGTTTCGGAACTTAATGCTAGAGGAATGGTAAATAATTTTTGAAGACCGATTTCAATGCCTATGCATATGTAAGCTTTGGAATCCAAGTAAACTGAGGCGATCTCCTAGTGTTTCTAATTTTACAATCTCTAAAAAAGTCATATAATTTACCCTGAAATACGCATGATATGCATTTCATCCTAGTATTTGCATGTGTTCTATGCTGGAGTGGGTGGTGTGTTTTATTTCTACCATTATTTCTAGAGTGTGCACACATACATGTACACACACATATATGTACACACGTCTGTGTCGGTGTGTGTGTGTGTGTGTCTGTGTGTGTCTGTCTGTCTGACATGTCTATTCCAGGAGGAAGAAGAAGAATGTAGACCGACTCCAACTCAGGAACATATTGGATGATACATTGGTTACTACTGACAATGACAATCATCTTACCAACTTATTAGCTTGCTCCTTCCCTAAAATTAGAGACAGAGGAAAGACAAAATCGAGTCGCTCTCTAGCCACCTGATACTATGTATTCAGCACTGTTAGGCTTTTTATTTTAGTATCTAATGTATTTTCTGTTTTTTTCTAGTTTTGAAACCTTTTATGGTTTTTGTGTGGACAATATGTTATGTTTGGGACCTCCCACACATTGTATTTGTATCTTTTTTTCTTTTTAATATATTAGCCTTTTTTGGGCTTTCAATATATATATATATATATATATATATATATATATATATATTGTGTTTACTTTTATAGAGAGAATATTTTATGTATATAAACCATGCATTGTACATCCTTGAGGCTGATTGATATTTTCAAATGGATGACGAAGGATATGAGTTTGATAAGCCGGGCTTAGCATTAGCTCATTGAGTCGAACTCAATATCGACTTGCCTACCGAGTTTGATGGGGATAGCTTACTAGCTATACTTAAGATAGACAGACTCACTTTGTTGGGCTTTGGGGTGTCTACCTTCTATTATAAGGTGGGCTCTGATGCCTGTCTCAGGAAAGTGTCCACTATGGCTCTAGGATGACTTTATCTTAATCCATACCTCTCTTCATCGGCAATCTTGTCCAGCTAGTCACTTAGGACCATAGGCGCACACCGATCCATCAAGATATTTGGCGGTTTCTCAAACAAGTCAGCTGCCTTGTTTGAGTTCACCTCAAGCAACAAGCCATCTATATTTCTTAGTTTTTTTTTTCACGTGTTGCTCATTCTGTAGCTTTCTCTATATTGCTTAACACCTTAGATACCCAACTTGTAAATAGTAGATCCATGTGAGAGCCAAGGGTTTCTCTTTTTGCTCTTTTTCCCACTGTTATGTCAGCTTTCTAAGCATATTGTAGCGGATTTACTTTCTTTGGCCGTATATTTTCTGGCTATTCTCATTTCATTTGAAACACTTAGTTTTGGGCATAACTCACGAGCAGTATGATTCAACATACATATTTTAATTCCCTTGGTATGAATTATGCCTAACCATTCTCTAAAGATGTAGTTCTAATATAAATAATGTTTCTTTTGTGTTTAGTTCCTCCAACTCATGCACGAGCTTAGGGCCCATACTATTTAATACTATTTAATGTGTCCGACTTTTGCCCCTTAAGTCTTCAAATCTGAGTCAAAGTACTCCACTGAGGAACTATTTCGGATCTTTTTAGAGGTGCCGAGAGACTTAGTCTAACACATTTCTAAGCTGGAATTAAATGACCAATACAAATAGTTCAAGATAATTTTAACCTTTTTTTCATGGGCTTTGTATTATTCATAGATCAATTCAATTTAGCTTTTCAATTGGCTAGAAACTTAAGAGAATTTTATGCTTGTCCTTGAATTTGATGCTTTTTTTGTGTCAGAAAGAACGTTGCAGGGGTCTCCTTTTTTACAATGAGCTGTTGCAGACTTTCTACCTGTTCAAGATATGTGACTATAAGAGCGCCACACAACATATTAACAGACTGGACGCTGCCATGAAGGATGATCAGAAACAATTATCCCGTGTTAAGGAGCTTTTTGGGGAGCTTAATACTGTGAATCAGAGCCTTTCACAGCTGAACTTGCAAGGGAAATCAAATACGGCTTTGAGGGAGAAGCAGGGCATGTTACATGACAAGTTGAGAGAAGCCACTGGACTTGATGAGGATATGTGGGGCTTTGAGGACAAAATTCTCTTGGGACCTCCTCCATTGGATGGGGAATGGCTGCCTAGGAAAGCGGTGTATGCCCTGGTGGATCTTGTGGTTGTCATGCAGGGACGTCCCAAGGGAGTGTTTAAGGATTGTGGGAAAAGAATTCATTCAGGAATGAAATTGATTTGTGGTGAGCTTGCTTTTCTCTTATATTGATTAAGCTGCATTAAGTCATCTTCAGAATTTCTTTAATAGCACCATTTGTTTGCTAAAGCTTAGTAATTCTATGTTGTGCAGAGGAGCTACAAAAATTTGGCATTGGTGATAACCAGAGAGGTGACTATTCTAGGCCATCGATCTTATTATATTTATGCATTCTTCTGTTTACAATTTTGCATGATACCCAACGATCTTTTCTGTTTTAGTAGTTCCTTAGAAACTTTTGTTGCGATTACAATTTTGAAAATGAACTATTTTTTTGATGGGTAACAATAATGCATTCCATTTTATGGGTCGCTTCACTAAGAAGTGTTACCCGCTCATGCTATAATGACATTTCTCTTTATTTATGCTTCTGCACAGAGCTGTTAGCATGACCAAGCCAACAATTGAGGCATGCAAAATTGATGCAGACTGTACTGCTCAGCTGCCAGATTGTAGAATCCCACAACCCGATCACGGGAAGCCCGCAACACCGTGGTTACGGCAATTCCACGAGTGCGGGAATAGCGGCAAAAACACTTTTTATTTTATTTATGTTACTTTTAACAATTTCCCTCTTTTTTGCTTCTTTCCTTATTTGTTCTTTCCTTTTTTTTAGTTTCTAATTAGATATTTTTTATGATGGGAGTTTTATATATACTGTATTAGGGTTTTGGATTTGTAGTTTTTTGATTTATTGAATTGAGAAGTGATTTATCTAATTTTGCTATCCCGAATACTGTATCCTTTCTTTTTGTAAGTGGTGTGTCTGTATCTTGCTTAGGAATATGTGATCGAACTCCTTTGCTACTCGTTTATCGCCATTTCGCCATCTGATCTGCTGTTTTCAGCCCTGCCGCCATCCAATTTTCTGTTAGCTGTTGTTTCCAACAGGAAATCACTGTTTTCTCGTCTTCAACTCGCAGGACAGTCACCGATCGACGCCAAACTACTATCCAACAATAGATTTATCTCCAATATCCTGTCCAAATGCCGTTGAATTCGCATTTAGCTTTTCCTTGCCATTTCATAACCACATCACCGCTAAACCTCTTTCTAATACCTTCTAGGAGCCTTAGAACGGTATCATTTGATATTAGAGCTCGACAAGTTATAAATCTTTATGGTTTTGTTAGATCGAAATTTCAGATAACTTAGCCTAACACCCTCACCAATATTTTTTTTCATAAATTATCCTTATCTCAATTTTTAACCCCAACCCAAACACTTTAAAAATCAATTTTCCTCCTTAAAAATTCCCCTTGGCCTCTATTCCTAAAATCTAAACCCCAGACCAACCATTATTTTCAATCCTACATCCGTCGAAAATGTGATCAGGAGAAAATGACGTAATGATGCCAAGGAGAAACTTTTGGTGAGGTGTCCAAGAACTAATTATGGAAGATGCGTAATTATGGAAGATGCGTAATTGTGGAAGATGCGTAACTGGAAATCCTCCAAATACAACAAAGGCTTACCGCCTTTGAGATGTCACAATCCGATGAGATTATCCTTACATACAATAGGGACTCATCAAATTGAGAGGATGACATGAATTACTTCCACTAGGCAATTTTTAGTGACGAAAAACCACTACTTTTATGGTTCGACATGAAATATTAGAGAAACCATGATATTGGAGTGAAAATGGATTTATTAGATTTTGACGGTTGCATGAATTTAGAATAGTTTATCGAGTTAACTCCAAACAGTGAAGCGAATTTTTGAATACAAGGTTATTTCTCAGGACGAGTTAAATTGACAACCATCAATTTGAGGAAAAATGCTTCATCGTGATGGAGTGTATTCGAAAACGAAAAGGAAAGAATAAGATCACTGCCTGGTCCAATATTTAAAGGGCGATGCAACATAAATATATTCCCTTACATTATCAACATGACATGTTTATAAAGCTCCACAATCTGCACTAGACATGCTGATGTGGAATACACAACCAACTTTTACCAACTTATGCTGAAATGTGAGTTAGTGGAAGCAGAGGAACACAACCATTTAGAGAAAGATCACAAAACATTCAAGACTGGTTTTTAAGGTTTTATGAACTAGAATGCTATATGCTCACCCAAAGAAGTGACACTTCTCGACACCCAGGATATGATTTTTGGGCCACATTGTATCTGGGGTTGTTATTCAGATTGATCCCACGAAGGTTGAAGCAATTTTGAGTTGGACACCCCTAGTCATTTGCCGAGCAGAGACAATTTCTGGGGTTAACATCATTTTATAAGAGGTTCTTCAGAAGCTTCAGCACCAGAGATGTTGAAAGGTGAGAGGTTCTAGTGAACTGAGGTAGCCCAATCTAGTTTTGACACTTCGATTAGTACCAGCTTTATCGAATTTCAGTCAGAACTGAGGTAGCCCAATCTAGTTTTGACACTTCGATCAAGAAGGTGATAGGCAATAGTACCAGCTTTATCGAATTTCAGTCAATTGTTCAAGGTGGAGTGCGACACATCCAATATGGGGATTAGGGTATTGTTGAGTCAAAGAGGACATCCCATAGTTTTCTCAAGTGAAAAGTTGAATGAGGCCAGGAGAATGTATTCGTCGTACGACTTGGAATTTTTTGCCATTGTGAGAGCTATTAATCACTGGAACCACTACGTGTTGGCGAGCGAGTTCACATTATTCACAGATCTCAAAGCCCTGAGATTCTTGAACAGTCAGAGCAAGCTGAAGGGCAGACACCCATTCCTTGGGTGGAATTGTTGGTGTCATTCCACTTCTTGCTCAAACATAAGGCTGGAAGCCAGAATCTAGGAACTGATGCATTGAGTCGTTGTCACTTGCTAATCACCTCCATGCAAACTCAAGTTGTGGGATTTAAGGTAGTGAATAAGTTGTACGACACAAATGAGAATTTTAGGGAAATTTGGGTACAATGTTAGGAGAGGCCCACAAAACCATACAGTAGATATGATGGTCATCTCTTTCACCAGAGCAAGTTGTGTGTTCCCAGATGTTTAGGAAGGTAAGCCATCATTTTGGATAGTCGCAACGTGGGACTAGCCGATCATTTTGGCATAGACAAGACCTTCACACTAGTGAAGGAACACTTTCTTTAGCCTCGAACGACAAGCGATGTAGAGCAGTACGCCCCAGTGCAGAGTTTACCTCCTAACCAAGAAATGAGGACAAAACATAGGGCTATATATGCCATTACCGGTACCAGAGGCCTCTTGGGTAGATATAACAATATGAACTTCATGGTGAGATTCCCGAGGACGCAGCAGAACAAAGATTCAATGATGGTAGTGGTTGACCGATTCTTGAAGATGACTCATTGTGTTGTGTCACCGAGCGCTGAACACATCTCATGCCACTGATTTGTACTTTGGGAATATCGTGGGGCTGCATGGGATTCTCAAGACCATTAAATCTGATAAGGACGTCAAGTTCTGAGTCACTTCTGGAGAACCCTATGAGGAAAGCATGGTACTAAGCTTCAATTCAGCTCGTTAGCCCACCCACAAGCTGATGTTCAGATGAAAGTGGTGAACAGGAGTTGAAGGAACCTTCTAATGTGCTTCATAGGAAAGAAAGCCATGCAGTGGGACTTGATTCTTGCCTAGACCAAGTTTGCTTACAACAGGTCCGTGAGTCAAACTACAGGGTATGCTCACTTGCAAATTGTGTATGGACACAGTCCACTCACTCCACTTGAGCTAGTACCTCTTCCTATGTTAGCGGTTAGTACGGATGCTGGGGCGGCCAGGGCATGAGAGATTCAGAGGCTAGGCAAGGAGGTTGAGAAATAGATCATTATGCAGAATAACAAGTACTAAACACCACAACAACAACAACAACAACAAGCCTTAATCTCACTAAGTGGGGTTTGCTACATGAATCCTTTTTCTCCATTTCATCCTATTGAATGCCATATTTTTATTTAATTCTAATAAATTAAGATAATTTATTATACAATATGCCCATGTCTTTCTTGGTCTACTCCTTTATAGTTCTATCAGTACCTTTTCTTAACATAGTCGAATCTAAAACATCTACTCTTATAACCGGATCATCAGATGATAGACGTTTAATGTGATCAAACCATCTAAGACGTCTCTCTCTGATTTTGTCCGCCACTAGAGCAACACCAACAGCTACACCAACCCCATCACGAATATATTCATTTCGCAATTTGTCTCTAAATGTAAATCCACTCATCCACCTAAGCATTCTCATCTCAGTAACACTGACAACACTTAATTTTATGCTTCTCTTTTAAAGGCAACATTCTACGCCTTAGAGCATTGCAGGTCTCACCACCGTCTTATAAAATTTTCCTAAATTTTCCTTTCAGTCTAAGCATCTATCACACAATTGGCCTGAAGCATTCCTCCATGTCAACCAACCAACTTGAATTCTACTAATAATATTCCCATCTACATCACCATCACTTTGAACAATAAACCTGAGATATCTAAAACGTTCACACCTTTTAATAATTTGATCAACCATTGTTATAACTCTGTCACTAGAGCTACTAATACTAAAATTACATTTACGAATGCCTTTAGACTCCAAAGCAGATCTTCATAATTCAAGTATTTTCTGAAATCTTTCTCTAGTCTTATTCACAAAAAAGGATATCATCATCGAAAAGTATACACCAAGGTACATCCTCCTATAACTGTCCTGTAAGAGCATCCATAAAAAAAGATATTGGCTTAAAGCCGATCCATGATGTAATCCAACTGAAATAGGAAAATATTTGGTCAATCCTCCTTTGTTAGAGCACAAGTAACAACTCTAGTATATATATTTTTAATGACTTGAATTTAAGTCATATCAACATCTTTCCTCTCTAGAACTCTCCAAAGGATATCTCTCAGAACCTTATTGTAAGCTTTTTTAAATCAATAAAAATCATATGTAGACCCTCCTTATTCTTTTGTACTTTTCTATCAAATCTCTCAATAAATGTATAGCTTCCATCGTAGACCTGCAGGGCATAAATCCAAATTGATTATGAGAAATTTTTGTAATACGTCTTAACCCATGTTCAATTACCCTCTCTCGTAATTTTAAAGTATGACACATCAACTTAATTCATCTATAATTTGCATGCTCTTATGTAATCAACTTAATTCATCTATAATTTGCACGCTCTTATGTAACCTCTACCAAAATACTCTTTCTCCACTCTCCAGACATCATTTTAGTTTTTAAAATAATATTAAAGAGTTTAGTTAGCCAAGAAACTTCAAAATCTCCTAAATATTTCTACGTTCAATTAGGATATCATCCGGTCCAACAAACTTTCCATCTGTGATTTTTTTTAAAGCTTCAACAACTTTTTTACTAATGCGAAGATAAAAATGAAACATTTTGTTATTATTAAAGATTTTAAGATCACTATGGTCGATCGTATTTTCTGAAACATTATTGAAAAATTTAACAAAATAACTCACCAATCTATGTTGAATATCTTTTTCTAAGAAATGCACTTTTTGACTTTCATCTTTAATATACTTAAGTTAAATCTTTACTTTTCTTTTCTCTTTGTTTGGCTAGTTTATACATATATTTTTCATCCTTTTTATCATCTAATCTTGTAGAATTTTAGCTTCACAAATTGTTCTTTTAAACTCCATGTGGGTCATTTTATATTTTTCCCAATTCTCTAAGCTTTTACATTTAAATCAATTTTTATAACATAACTTCTTATATTTTTTATTTTTTTGCACATTATTATTCCGCCACCAACTATTTTTATTTATAGATTCTTTTTCTTTTGATTCTCTAAGTACATATTTTGCCACTTAGTTTTATTTGTTACTTTATCACACATAAATTTGCTTCTTCATGAACATCCCAAATCTTGAAATTTTAAAGTTTACTCATAAAAATACTTTAAACATCTAACTTCTTTACCCATATCCGTTCATAATATGAGAACATTTGCTTATTTAATACTATACCTGGGCGCCGTTGTAGCGACCATTGCACTTTTTTCACTGTATTCAGGCGATACAACGCGTCGCTTCCAGGGAACATCCTAGCATTTACATAATGATCAAGATGATTCATGTCATGATTTTTTGATATGGCTGTCGATTACCTAACACAACTCTCCACTTTTCGCAACCCACTAATTTTCCTAAGTACCAAATGCAAGCCAATAAAATTAGGAAGCTAATTTTCTTGGAGGGAGATGTAGTGTGGATTAGACTGAAGAAGGAGAGATTTCCCAAGAGATTGCTCGGGAAACTCAAGCCTGGAGTAGACAGACCTTTTCAGATCCTCATGAATCTGAATGAAAATGCCTATAGGATCGTCTTGCTAGGGAATTACAACATTTCAGCTACGTTCAATATGAAAACAGAAGCTTCGATGAATGAATTCAATGCTCCCCCAACCTCGGGAGATTGATGCGGGCGTGGAAGCATAGGACTAGCACGTCGACTCTTTCGACAAACCTTGGACTGATTTTGAGAGGGAGGGAGGGGGGGGGGTGGGTTGACTGGTCCCCCTAGGTTCAGAAAGTGTCGCCCCTAAGGAGTGGGCCACTTTTTAGTTGCCTAATAGTATTTATATGTTGTTTTGTGTGTTTTAGAGTTATTGTATGTTTTTGTTTCTTTTGAGAAAGCTTGGCTTCTATAGATTTTTCCTCTGAGAGTTGTAAGCAAGAAAGGGAAGATGTTCTAATTGTAACTCATCCGAAGATGGTGTATATCTTCCGTCACTTTCCCCACAACTTATCACATTGCTCTTCTCCTCCAGCCTGCGGCCCTTTTCCTTCCTTTTGCTGGCTGCATACTTTATTGCTTGCACTAGACCGACTTGCTTCTAGGACTCCTCTGCTGTCCTTCGGGCAGCCTCCCGCCCGAACCTTCACCTTACCATCAGTTGACATGCCTTGCCTTGTGCAGCCACCACCTCCCCACCACTGTCATGCTCTTCCCTGCCCCCTATCCGCAACCACCTACTTCTCCCTTCAGTCCACTACAAACCAGCCACCAGCCCTGCTGCTTTTCTGTACTCTATCCCTTCATAACATCAACCCACAACCAACCCTCCACCAATCACCGCCGTCATGGTACCGCTCTAGTTGGGATAGTCGTGTCCTTGCTGTTGTTGTTGTTGCTTGCCTTTCAGTGTGTCATCCGGTATCACTTTTATTGGATTTGGAGTTTTCTGATTTGATGAATTGTGAAAAGTTTTCTCTGAATTTTGCTCTTTGGAGTGCCGCATCACTTTCTTTTGCATGTGTTTGTATCATGCTTAGGAACAGGTGGTGGGCCCCTCTTGTGGCCCACATATCGCCATAGCAAAGTCCGACCTACTGTTTTGAACTGGGCAGCCATCCAACTCACTGTTCTCTGCTGTTTCCAGCAGGAAATCACTGTCTTCCTGCCTACGGGACAGCTCGTGGGACAGCTGCCGATCGACGCTAAACTGCTGTCAAACAACAGATTTATCTCCACAAACCCTTTCAAACCTTGCCGAACTCGCATTACCTTTGCCTTGCCGTTCAACAACCACATCCCCACTAACTCTCATTCAAAATACTTTTTTGGAGCCCTAGAACTGTAGCAAGATATTCTCCCGTACATTTGAGACAAGGGCACAGGCTGTTGCCTTTGTTAGAATATCTTTTAGTAGAAAATAGGATGGGATAGTTGGACAGTAATTGTTCAGAAACAAGAAATTACCAAATTAACTTATGGAGCCTCAGTAGGGTGGCTTGAAGATTCTTATTTAAGTTTTTTTTTCTTATATCGGATGAACTATCCTTCAGTATGAACAAGCAACCTGGAGATTTTCAGGACTATGGACTATGACATATGAAAGAAATATGAGTTGCACCAACCAGTGGTAGAAACTTGAAATCCTAGGCATCATTTTCTTCTCCAAATGTATCACATTGCTACAAATTATTTCTTTAAAGTAATAGGCTCAAAAGGATGAACAAAGATGATCAGGTTCCAAGTATGTTATGTAGTGTCATTTTCAAGATTTGGTATGGACTTTAATTATGTTCGTTCCTTTAATGGCATTGTCCCATGTTTATGTCAGAACTCGTTGCTTTGCACATTAAATTAGATATGTTATCTCTCCTCTACTTTGATGTTATTTTGTTAGTTTTTTGGTTTCATTTACTAATCGTTTTTTTGAAATAAATTACCTTATTGAATAGAGATGGATATTCAACACTCAGATATATGGATAGCTGGTCAATTTTTATTGCTCCTTATGCAATTTCTTGAGAATAAAGTTGCGCTGGAGCTTACTAGGTCTGACTATATTGAAGCTCAAGAGGTAAAAAAAATGGGAAGGTTTACCTGCCATATGTAGCTTTACTATATGATGTTTTTGGGGTGAATTGGATTTCCTTAATATGGATATTATATCCATTCCAGAATTCCATCGATATTCATTTTATTTCTTGCCATCTTCGGGCCATAGTATCTGCAGTATTTTAATTCCCAAACTCCATTGTCTTTCTTTCATCAGACGATAGTGCAGATGAGAAATTGGTTTATTCGTTTCCCAACCATACTGCAAGCATGCGAGTCCATTATTGAAATGCTAAGAGGACAGTATGCTCATTCAGTTGGTTGTTTCCATGAGGCTGCCTTTCATTTCTTGGAGGCTACAAAGGTTTGTATTGTTTTAATGAATATGACAGCCTATCAAAGCTGCCACCTTCCTTTTCATAATGAATTTTTGTGATATATTTCATGTTCTTCTTTGACGTATGCATATATTGTGATGTAATTGATAATATGTTTATTTTTGCCAGCTCACTGAGAGCAAGTCGATGCAATCTATGTGCCAAATTTATGCAGCTGTTTCTTTTATCTGTATTGGTGATGCAGAATCTTCTTCGCAGGTGGGGCTGACTGAGCCAAGCTAGCAACTGACGTTGGGTTCCTTTTAAGTAAACTACTTATGTGTGATTGATTTATTTACTGAAGCAATTTAGTCACCTTGAAACTTTTTTTTCCAATTTTCAGGCATTAGATTTGGTAGGACCAATTTACAAAACCATGGATTCATTTGTTGGTGTACGAGAGAAAACTTGCATTGTGTTTGCTTATGGTCTTCTATTGATGAGGCAGCATAATCTACAAGAAGCTAGGTAAGCTGCTTTTGATATTCTTAGCGTGTTTGTTCTTTCTAGTTAAGAGATTATGATTTTGATTTTTTTTTTAGGAAAATCTTGAGATTTAAAAAAATTGTTTAGGAAAGTATTTGATTGAAAAGTTTTATTTATGATGTCTTTTTAATTTGGATGTTTTTCTCCTTTTTTTCTTCTTCTTGTTCTTCTTTTTTGTTTATTTATATGATTATGTTTAATCAATAATTAATACATTATAGAGAATTTTTCTCTGTATCATGATTTTAAAAGAACGGGAAACCTCTTTCTTAGCCTTTTGCTTCCACTGCCTCGTTTTTGCCTTTCACTGAATCTTCTTCTTTGTTAATTCCCATTCTTAATGTAGCTCATGTCACATCCTAACTGGCTCCTTTTAGGGCAACTGTGGTGCAATAGAGACGGACAACTCAATTAGACTAAATTCTCACTAACAGTCGTCTTGACTTACACAATTTAGACTCAATGGATAATGAATTAGTCCAACTCAATCATTGCAAACATTCATGATTCATTTCAATTTATAATTGATTCACATTCACATATATTTAGAAGCGTGAAAATCATATCACCAAAGCGCACACACACACACTCATATATATATATATATATATTCTAAATCCAAAAAATTAAAGTATGTATCCAAAAGTCTGTATAATATCCAAAATTATTTAATGCAAAAGCTGTACACGTCACAACTTCTTACTCGTTTTGGTGCTCCTTACTCTTAACTGAAAGTCAATAACTTAGAGTGAGTTATAAGCTCAGTAAGATAATTGATGTTAGAAAAAGATTTTATAGACAAACATACTTTATTCATTTCAAGCTGATCACACACTCATAAATAACACGTCTGATCATTAGTAACTCATATCCAGGATAGTAGAACATATTACAACATACTTTATTCATGTAAAACATCTAAATGATGACATGAAATGCAATAAAAAATGTCAGCTGTATAAATATGTGTTTCATCCATTCATGTACAATCATAGACATATTAATAAGAGTTTTATAGTCAATTGTTGTAATTATAAAAATATCACTTTTAATTATGTGTTATGACCACTTACATATTATTTCATGTCATTGGATCATCGTTCAGCTCGAAGGTTAATTAACTATTCCAACATAGCAGTTATCATTAATCTTCTGATACAAATGATTACCTATTATCTGCCCTTACCTAATACTTGTAGTTCTTGGATTTTGTCTTCGTCTGAGCACCAAGAGTCAGGAATCCCATCGTTCCCAATCATTCGTACTTGCTACTATTCACTAATAGCCTTCCAAACATAACAATGGTGATAATCCTGAAATCATAATTCCTGTAACATTCGCTATATGAAAATCATAAATCATATGATAGGAATACCTGCAAGCGAAGATTTTATAAACATGCACACAATAATAATACAATAAGGAAAAATCATAATTACCGTCTATTTCAGTTCAAGCTGACATTTATGTAACATGTGCAGGAATTCAATAATATGTAGAAATTTTTAATGTAATTATAGGAAAAAAAATCTATAGAATCACATAAAAAGGTATTATTCTAACTTTAACACAAGATTATTTCACCTAAAACGACGTAACAACCTTTCTATGAGTTTCCTCAAGCTCGTTGCATAGTGTAAATCACATGGAGTCATAATCCCTTTAAAATGTCATAAAATTCATAGTTGAGATATTAATTTATGTAATAATTGAAAGTAATAATAATAATAGTAATAATAAAAGAAATAAAAAATGAATTTTATTGGATCTGTGTTCGTTTGAACCAATCATTGTCTCGATCGGGTTCTTCAAATATCAATTTTTTTTTTTGAATCGGAGGGAAGATAAATCAAAGGCGTGAATAAGAGATGAAGGCAAGGCGAGGGAGAATAGTGACAGAGAAGGAAGAAGACTTATGTGTATAACCCTAGTGGCGACAATGTTAAGATTGAGGGTAGCAATTGGCTTTGAGGTGTGGAAGCAGGAAGGAAGGAAAACATGTTTATTGGCATTGGAGTTGACCCTGATGGTTTTGTCGCATGCAGGAGAAGGCATCGAAGCCAAAGAAGGAAGCATCGTGCACGTCCTATGCAGGTGTGAGCAGAAGAAAGGGAGGAAGGTAGCTTGTGTGTTGTAGAAGGAGAGAGAAGAAAATTCGACTTGCAAGAATCAATTTGATAGGATGATAATTCGAGCAAAAGAAGTGGGAGGAACCTGTTGAATGACTCTACATGTGGGTGAGAAGTCGTTCCCTGCAGAGTTCTCTATGTGCAAGACGGGAGCATCGAGCGACTTCTCATGTGGGAGAAGGGAGCGTCATGCACGATCAAACTGAAGGAGAAGGAGTTCGTGCGGGAGACCAAGCCTTGACTTGGGAAATTTTTTATGCATGGAAAGCTAAATCGAAAGTTTATGATTTAAGGGTTTATGATTTTAGTTAATATACATTTTTAATGAAATAAAATAATATTAATTCATAAATTCACAATCATAACTAATTTTTTTTATTTAAAGTTAAGCTTCATACTATAGAGATAATTTTGAACTGTAGAATATAATAAATCAACTTAGAAAAAAAATCATGATAATTATATTGTGACAAACTACAAAATATTAATTTACTAATATAATTTATTTAAGATTAATTAGTTAGTATTAGGGGAATCAAATTTATAATAAAATTATCTTATTTTATATGATCAAATAGGGGAATTTCAATTGAAGGAGTTACAACCTAAGAAATAAGGGTGAAAAATGCGAGGTGAGTAGTTGTGCTTTTAAATCGAAATAGTATTTAGTTTCTTCTAAATCTGATACATTATAGTTGGATATATTTTATATTACAAGACTAAAATCAAAATGATTTATTTGCTCTTTTAGTTCATTCAATCATTAAATTGTATGTACTGATATCTGTAAATATACATCTATTTTATATTCAATGTATTATATTATTTTCACCATGATATAAAAATATAATGAGATATTCTGATTGATTGTGCATGTTTGACCATAATGGAGTTCATCTCTTTATGGTACTAGCAAGGAAGCACTAAAGTAACCATGCATGTAAATGAAAACGTTTATTGGCATTGATTTTTTTTGGCACAATTTTAAATGATGCTCTTGTGAAGGTTGTACAAATATAAAATGATATGGACATATTATTGATATGATAAAATGAATTGAATGTTATGAACTATTATGAATGATCATATCTGAAAAAGTAAACTGTCTAATGTTTTTATATAGATTTATATTATTTTGACTGTCATGCATATTATTTCATTTTTGTTATAATAATAATTTAAGAGCACGAGCATTCACTAGCTTCTTAGCTCACTGTTGTTTTAAACTAATTTTTTCATATTTAATTAATTCTTTAAAGATTAGCAATATACAATGGAATATTTATAGAAGATATGGATAACTCGACCTATGATAAATTTATAACTGCTTAAATTTAATCTTTTATGTAGCGACTTTCATTTGTTAAATGTAGTTATAGAAAATAAATATAAAAAAATTAATTTCCACCGCCGACCATTTTTACCTGCCTTGATTAATTCCAAGTCTCAGGCCGTGCATGATAATTTGACCTCAATTACATTTAACTTGCTAATATTCACCTTAAAAGGGCTTCCCAACATGAATCTTCCTTTAGGAATACTTCTTTTCCTCTCTTTCTTCCCTCTTTTCTTCTTTTCTTCCCCAACTATTCATTGATTTCCTGCTAACCATTTCATTGGAAGTCTAATAATCCAAGTTTGTAACTTCCGACACTATTCTTCGTTCTGCTACAATGACAATGAATGAAAAAATGCTTCAATTTGTGGCAATTGTCAAAAAGGAATCATAGGGAAGGAAATTAATGTTCCAAATAGCATGAAAGTGCTTGCTTTTACCAATTTGGTCGTGGAGCCCCAAATTCACCGCTCTTGGCTCTCTGCTGGTCACACTCATGCTGTTGTTCGCACGAATCGACTTGACCTTCATGTGTAGGATGGTTTGGGAGAGAAGAAAGGAAGAATGCAACATTTAACGTGGATTCTATTTAATTCCAATTACTCAATCCATTTCTCATAAAAATTGTGTTCTCAGTATATCTAAATCTATTTGAACACATATGAATCTTTCTGTCTCATTTTTTATTCTTATTCCTATGTAGCTTCTTTTTTCAGACCAGTGCTTTCATTTTATTTTGCATAAGACATTTATTTGTTTCTTAACTTTTTAACATCTGTTTCTAAAATTTTCTCAGGCTCTTCAAAATATTTAAAATTTTTCTGTACTTTTATATCTTCAATTTATGTACTTCTCAATAGCCCTATGACGAGTTTTCTCAAGCTCGCCAAATCTAAACCACCTAAAATCATAATCTCTTTAAATATTCATAAAATTCATAGCTGAAATTTTAATTTAACCCCAATTACATTTTACTTTCTAATATTTACCTCTAAAGGGCTTCCATGCATTAATTCTCCTTTAAAAATTCTTCTATTCTCTCTTTCTTCCATTTTTCCTTCCCTTCTTCACCTGCTCTTTGCTAATTTCCCGCTAACAATCCCACTGGAAGTCCAAAAATTGAACTTGGTAACCTCCAACACTATTCCGCCGCTTGCTACAGTGAAGAGAAATAAATAAGTCCTTCAATTTGTGGCAAATGACAAAAAAAAAACCACAGTGAAGCAAAAGAATGTTTCAAATAGCATGAAAATGATGTTCCCTTTTACCGATTTCGTTCGGGAGCCTCAAATTGACGCCTGTGGCTCCCTGTGGGTTGCGCTCTTGCTATCATTCTCGTGAACCGAGCAGACCTTCGCGTGCAAGAAGGTTTGGGAGAGGTGAAATTAATGGATGCAACCTTTAACTTGGATTCCATTTAATCACAATTGTTTGATCCATCAGACTGTCGCATGTACAGTTAGTTGCAGAGAAACTCTGCTGGCTACAGTAACGCGAGGTTAGGAGATTAATTAAAG